TGGCTGGAGGATCAAGGCAGCAACCCCCGCCAGCCTGGGATTGTTTAACATTTTTTATTGCACCAAAGAGAGGAAAAAAAATGCGGCACGAGCCAGCTTGCCCCTAGGTGAACCACGGGGACGAGGGCAGGAGCACACGTAGTCGAGCCTGCTCCGGCTCGCAGGACGGAAGACACCAAATGGGATCCAGATTGACACAAATGTGCCTTTCCCCAGGCCAGGGCGACGACGGGACACTGAGATGCTTCCCATCATGGGCAAACTCCTTCTTGCGGGGCACCCATTGCCCACGGGCTCCAGCAAGCCCTGAAGGGGTCTGCTGGAGCTCATGGGCATGGGGGTCTCCTGCTCATGGTGGCCCTGGGGAGAAAAGATCATTTTGCATCGTTTTGTGCAGGAATAGAGGAGCTCACAGGGCTGAAGAGGGCATTTGTGCATCCAGCTTGGCACATCCAGTTCTTAAGCATAATTATAAAACACAAATAAGAGGAAAGGTGGTTTGGATTTGAAGCAAAGTGCTGTGCCACAAAAGAAGGAGTTTGCTTGAGTCCCTGCCTGGGATACGGATGCAAATGCAGCTGCTGCTGGGGTCAGGGCTTCCCAAAATGTGGCCTCTCCATCCCTACGGGCAGGGACCAGCAGCAGCTCCCCCCTCTGCCACTGCCTCACCATATATCCTTGGTTGTGTCACTTAAGGCCACGTTTGAGCAGCCCCAGTTGCCCCTGGAGGTACAAAGCAGCTCCAGGAGGAATCGGGATGGGCATGGGGACCGCAATGCCGGGATGTCCCCCACCCCGTGCCTGGCTGACTGCTGTGCAGAGACCCAGGCACCGAAAATCGGAGCCCAGGGGCGCGAGACCTGCTTGCTCAGGAGGTGGCAGTTCTCAGAAACCAGCTTCAGGTGAAAGGAAGGGGAAAAAGAAAGAAAAAAAAAAAAAAAGGAAGTCAAAGCAATCTCACGCTGAGCAGAGATAAAAATACTACTCCTCCTGTGGCCACGGCTGAAGACGTACGAGCTGTGACACAGGCACCACGGGTTTTCAGCGGAAAGAGTCTTCCCGGCTTGTCTCGGCATGCCATCAATTTACGGGATGCGCTGGATTTCATTAAAATGCTATAAAGAAACCAGCACAAATGCAAATCCCATTTCCCTTCCCCTTCCTGTAAAAACATCTGGTCAACAGAAACGGCTCGGGACATTTCCGTTGCAAGTCAGGGTTTTCATGGGGTTCAGGAGCTGGGCGGGTAAAAGGCGCTCAGGTCTGGGGCTCAGCTGATGAACAGGGCAGCCCCAAACCCCCACAGGGCTGCCCTAAAGCGTGCAAACCTGCTTTGCCAGCTTCGGCTTAAATTTATAAAGGTGGAGAAGCCTCTGAGCTACCTGATCCTACCAGTCATGGGAGAATACATGGCACGGTAGAGGAGAAAGCCCTTAGTGCCCCCATGGAAAGCAAGGAGGACTGGCGAGCATCGCCCATCACCCTCATACAAGACACCAGAGAATCCACCTGGCTGCACACTTAGGACCATAACCAGGGTTCCACTGGTTTTCCTGCACCCATGTATACATACACCCATATGTACAAGCGTTATAGATTCCTTGATATCCCCCTGCTCCAGGCACTCTGCACATCAGGATGACCCCACTGGTGCTGGGGCCAGTCCCAGCAGCCTCGTGCCACGGAGCACATCACCTCACCCTGGCACCGGTCAGTGGGACAACATCCTCGCATCCCTCCTCTCCACAGCACACCAGCACCCTCCGCCATGTCCCCAGGGTGGGGGTCTGGGTGCCCCCTGCCCTGCGCTGGTGCCCTGAGCCCTCTGGTGCCCTGCAGCCCCGCTGTGACCTGCTCCTGGGAGAGCTCCGGATCCGATCGTCTCCAAATCCCTCCCTTGCAACATCATTTTTCCAGTGCTTGAGGGAGGAAGGAGCGATGCCAAAACCAACCCAGCAGCGGCTGCAAGCATGGGAAGCCCCAGCTCATCCGGCTGAAGCTCCCGCGAGACCGACACATCCCTTGGGGGATGGGATGCCCACACCAGGCAGCGCCGCAGGGCCTGCCGGCAGCTCCAGCATGGCTCGCCGACACGCACCCCATCGCCCAGCCCAGCACCCCATTGCCCAGCCCAGCACCCCATCGCCCAGCCCAGCGCAGGCTGCAGCCACCCAAGCAATTAATGGGATTAGGGCTCTTCAAAGCGCCCTGCTCCCTTTGATGCCGGGCACGTTACGGGATTAGGCTGAGAGGCCCCGTTGGAGCGCACCAGGGGGAAAGTAGAGGGGAAAATAAGATAAGAGCTGCCAAAAGCAGAGCAAGGGAGCAATGGCCAAGCCATGTTGGGGCATGCATGGGGCCACCCCCTTTCCCTAAGCACCCTGCCTTTCCAAGGTCATTGCAAGGTGCTGAATATCTGGGGGCTTGGGCTTGATGCTGTAAAGCTGGGAGGCTGGGCTGAATTTCCATTTCCAGCGTATTATTTAAAGGGTAGAAAGGGAGAAGAGGAGGGCACTTCTGGGGAGATCTCAAGGGTGACCAAGCCTAATGATCCAGAGACCATTGGGGGCCAAAAGCAAGGTTTTACAGTTGCTTATTTAAACCTATCAGTCTTCCACCACGACCATCAGCATCTTCAAATCAGGACCAGATCCATGACATGGGCAAAAGGCAGAGGCAAAGTCCTGTGAGCATCCCAGGGCAGGAGGATGGAGGGGAGGGGGGTCCCCCCAGCCTTCTCTGGGGAGTTATTAATTATTATTTAGTTATTTTAAAGGGAAAAAAAATAAACCACCAACAAGCTGTTCTGTTCCCACTGCTCTGTGGTTTGCCCCCTTGCTGCGTTTGGGACCCACCAGCTCTGTGGGGGGGCTTTCCAACTCCCCCTGAATTCAACCGCCGTGACTGGGAAAGGGGCTGGATTGATTCTGCTGTGAAGGAGACAGGATCTGGCCCCGGCCCAGTTAATTAGACAGGAAGGACCCGCCCTGAGAATATTTGCACAGGAAGCAATTTACTCCGGAGACTCGCGAAATCCAGTGAGGAACATCCCC